CTTGGAGGCGGTCTGCTGCCCTTGCCTGGTTGTGGACCAGGAGGGTCCTTAGGAGGGCCTTCTGGCTGGCCATGATCATGGATGATCTGCCTCATCTGGTCGATGTCGGCAGTACCTTTTATGGCCAGCTTGTACTTGCCATTTTCGTGGCGGTGAATTACCCTCGTGCAAAACCACTTCTGCGCCGAGGAGCTGCAGTACCAACAGGCGCATCCATCAGGGAATGGATTCTCTGAGCCGTCTTCCGCCGCCCATTCTTCATTCAGTTCGGTGTGGTCAGTGCCGGCGGCGGACCCAGCAGCAGATGCAACAGCTATCCAATCTTCGTCCGCGGACCCAGCGGCTGGCGCCGCGTCTGCGGGTGACCCCGCTTCTTTTCTGGATCCTGCGGGTGACCCCGCCTCTTTATGGAATCGGCGGTTCCATTCCTTGAGGCGATGGTCATTGGGAAGCTGTACCCAATTTTCCCTGACAGTGTTTGCAACCTCTTCGGTCATAGGGACGCGATCGGCTTCTGTGATGCGCTTTCCTCCTCCAGGGACCTCCTTGTTAGGATCATGGACGTTGCCAGCGTCATCTCCATGAGACCAATTCCACGGGGTCTCACCGTGATGAGGACTCCTGGAGGGGCGGTCCATTGGACAACTGCGCATGTGACCTTTGAAGGGCTCGCACTGACATACTTGTGTTCTGTATGTCTTGCGATCGTTGATGATCTCCTGTTTCTTAGCCCTTTTGTCCCAAACCTCTGGCGTTTTGGTCTTGCCACCCTTGGTACGTATTATCATGCCAGTTTCGTCCCTTTTGGTGCAGTATTCCTTAGAATACCAGTGGCGGATCACGTCCATCGAGTAGCCGGGGTACCAATTGATGTACCAATCCGGCACGTACTGAGCGGATACACCAACGGAGTGCCCCGTACTGTACGGGTAGCCCGATGCATCATGTGTAGGGCGTCGGGGAGCTGAACGGCTCCTCCTGCGGGCTGGCCCCGCCCCCCCCCCCACCCCCCTGGGGCAACGCACTACCACCGTTCCCATGGGCCTTGATCGTCCATGCTCTGAAGTCTCGGGAGGGCGATGGTCGGTCTGTCCCTCTTGGCATAAAAATAATAAAAAAAACAAAAAAAAAAAAAAAAAAAAAAAATAAAATAAATATATATTAACTCAAAACATAGAAAAAAAAAATAAAAAAATAAAAAAAAAAAAATAAAAAATAAACAAAAAAATAAAATAAAATACCAACATTAATAAAGAAAATAAAAACAAAAAACAAAGAAATAAAATAAACAGGGCGCATGTCCTCCGAGTCCTCTGAGCTGTCCTGGACCATGAATACGAGCTGATACGGGCTTCGGAAGTACCCGATGTCGTTGAGCTGCTCCATCGTGAGGTCGTTGAAGTCCATCTGGTCGCAGCCCTGCATGAATACATCCATAGACCAAGCGGGTGGCCCCGCTGCTGCGGCTGGCGTCACTTCGGCGGGTGACCCCGCTAGAGCCTGGAGTGCTGTCAGCATCTGAGGTGCCGACATGTCCGAATCCAGGTATGGACGCAGCCGTGCGGCCCCTGGGCGCGACAGCAGGTCGTTCATTATCTGCTGATGTGCTGGCGCACTCAGGAGCCAGATTGCTTCTGCGACCTGCTCTTGGAGCATGTCCTTATAGTCCTCTTCGGCCTCTTCGGAGTCAGAATACGCGGGATGGCCCCGCATTTCGTCATCAGCGTCTCCCGCTCCCGAGCCAGCTCGCGGAAGATCTGGCAGCAACGGCATGCCAATCACCTGCGGTGCCAGCGCGGCGGTGAGCTCTTCCTCGGTCGCCGGGACGGTCTCAGCTTCGGAGATCTCGTCGTCGGCGGGTGGCCCCGCTGGAAGACCGAACCAAGCATTGAACGCGACCTCGTCGACTTCGTCCCAGCCGTGGAACTCGTCGAAGAGGGTCACTGCGTAGTCTTCCAGGGCTACGGTCACTTCAGCGCAGCGGGCCATCACGTAGTAAGTGGAGGAGCCCGCGGCGGGAGCCGCTTCTGGATTGACGTAAAATTCGTAGTCAATGTAGTCTATGTCATCCATAAAAGAATTTTGAGCCAAATGTACGGATCCCTTTCCTTTCCCTTTCGGGCATTGATCGCGCAAATGCTCTGTGCTGCCGCATGTATGACACTTCGTAGTATTGCCAGAAGCGTCCCTAGGGTTGCCCCTCCGCCCTTTTCCCTTACCGGAGGTCCGCCTGTGACCCCGAACTTTGCCTCCGATAAGAACTTCTTCAAAAGCCATATCAGTTAAGGACGTGAGGAAAGCAGTAATACCCCTACCATGCATACGGCGTCTGCGACCCCCTTTGCCACGACCCTTTCCATATCGTTTGAAATGTCGGCGTACTGCGCGTCTCACTTTTCTGACTGGTTTCTTCATAAAGCGCCTCCAACGGCGTTTTGATTTGCGATAAGCCATAAAAGCGGCTTCCGCTCTTTGTTGTTCAGAAAGGTGAGTGTCGTCCGCTGGATAGTCATTACCAGCAGAGACTATGCCATTGTGCTCATCGTCAGATGAGGTATCTGTGTCAGTGCCAGATTCAAACGGTGAGGGTGGCTGAGACCCTTGAGCGGAGGACTCCGCTTGGCCCCAGAGGGTTGTGCCCGAGGGCGGGCTTGCAGTGTAGGCGGCGCCTGGCGAGTAGTTCGACCAGGCGTTCGCCTCAGATGCCTCTGCCGATGCCTGGCCGGTCTGCCCTAAGAAGGCAGTGGCCTCGTTGGGCATATCGGCTGGGTCAGCCCAGGGACTTGGCTCGCCAGGACCAGCGGGTGACCCCGCAGTCGTGGCGTAGACACCTGCATGTGAGTGGTGCCCTGTGAAGATACCCGCAATGTTGCCAGGAGAGCGCTCGGCAACATGTCCGTAGTTCCTCATCCTGGTCAACAGCCTGTCATAGTCTGCTTGTGTTCGGGGCATCTGATGATTGAAGGGCTCAAGCAGGTGTTGGGCTCGTGACGCGCCAACGCCTAACGCTCTGAAGAGAATCAGCGTTAGGATCTGAAAGTTGGGATGACAAAGCCAACAGAGTTAGCCTCGTCACGGGCCATCTCGAATCGAGCTAATACTGAGTCGATTCGCTCGCCCCTTTCGACGCGGAAGTCGATAAGGGCCGTGCCAGAGTTGAGCTGGCGCTCATCTTCCAGATTTTCAAATTTGGTGCTCAGTAGGTACAGTATATATGTGACTGCATCCGTTGGCTGTCCATTGACAGTTACACCATAGTTGATGATCTGGGAGGGGACCTGCATGGCGATACGACGAGCAAGACCTTGAAGGCCTCGTTGTAGTGCTGCAGCTTGTTGTGGTGGCGTCATATTGCCGCTCGTTTCGTTTATCCATGCATGTACTTCGCGAACGTATTCGCGAAAAGGCGTAGTACCGGCAGGGTCCCATGAGGGGCCAGTAGTACGCGTGTCGTCCATCCCCTGCCGCATGTATCCCACAGCACATCCCATTATTACCCACAGAATGCCGAAGATAGTTATCTTAATCCAATGCATGTGCATTTCGGCTTCGGTGATTGGTTTAGGCTGTGGTTTGTCAGGCTCTGGCGTAGTAGCCGTGAGGCGCCTTACTGGCACGGGATGCAGGTGGCCCCGCTGCGGGTAGCCCCGCAGGGTGACCACGTTCTCGATCGAGTTGCCGATTGGCATCTGGTGGAAGTCGAGAGTGAAGTAGCGCAGTGAAGTAGGAGAGAGCGTCTCGAGTTCGCGGGTTGCCCCGCTAGCTCGAACGCGGACTGGCTCCGCTCCTCGCAGAGCCGGCGCAACATGGTATTCCACCGTAGTAGTAGTCCACCAAGTTGTGCCGTGGATTACAGGAATCAGAGCGAGAGCCAGCCACTCGAGAGTGTAGCCAGCTCCGCTACCAAGTCGAAAACAAGCTGGTAAGCTTAGGTATGTGTTACGCTTTAAGCGTTGCCATATCCCAGGCTTTGGCTCATATCGCATGAGCAAGAGAGCAAGACGAAGCATGGGATCTGGAGTAAAGGATGGGATGGGCATCGTCAATGGAAAAGGTATTTTCCGATCTCTGATGCAAGTCGTGCGCCTCGGTGAGGCACAATCACATATTTTGGCCGGGCCCGGCTTGAGCCAGGCACGGCAGCGGTGCATGCTCGATTTATACCTCGCCTTTAACCTTCTCCGTTTTAAGTCATGAACCTACAAAGACGGTCCAAGAGGGCCCCAAGAACACCCCCAAAGGGGCCCCAGAGAGGGAACACGAAACAAAATTTCGCGCCCTCGGCCCTAAGAAGCCCCTACGAGGCCCCAAGAGGCCCCTAAGAGGCCCCAAGAGGCCCCCACGAGGGCCTCAGGAGGCCCCCAAGAGTCCCCCAAGCGGCCCCAGGAGGCCCCCCAAATGGCCCCCCCGAGCGCCCCAGGAGTCCGCCAAGCGGCCCCAGGAACCCCCAAAGCGCCGCATTGACACCAGGCCCTCGGCAAACTGCAGACATGAGAACCGTATGAGCCGCGTAATGAGGCGAAAAAGAGAATAACAAAAAAAAAAAAGAAGAAAAAAACAAAAAGAAAAACGAGAGAAGCGAAAAAAACAGAAAGGAAACGGGGGAGGGGGAATAGAGAAAAACAAACTCGCGGATCGGGGGGGGAAAAAAAAAGAAGGGGGAAATAAAAAAAAAAAAATAAGCAACAAAAAATAAACAAAAAAAAAAAAAATAAAAAAATGCTGATTCAATAACTATCCCCTCCACCATCAGCACCGTCTTTACCACGATCGGCGCCACCAACCGCCACCCTCAGCACCGCGAACCACCACGATCAGCACCACCAACCACCACCCTCAGCACCACCACCACCTGCCCTGTGTTAAGTCGGACGGGTCCCCGTACAGGGGGATTTTCGACGAAAAATGAAAGATACTCCAAAACTGACAAAAAATGATCGAAAAATAGTTTCCATACTTTTGTTTGGCTATTTTTGAATATTCCTCCCCCAGAGGGACGCCCGCGCCTCCTCCCACGGCAGCCGCCCGCGCTCCCCGCGCCGCAGACAGCGGCATGCTCTCCGCGAAGCGCCGCTGGGCGCCCTGAGCGGGGGCCGCGCGCGCGCCCCTGGCTCGGCGCCCGCAGGGCGGCTCGCCTCCTCTCCTCCTCCTCTTCCTCCTCCTCCTCCTCCCCCGCATCTTCGGGCCGCCTCGTTCTGGGGGGGGCACAAGGGTTAAGTCGGGCCCGTCCCTCTACAGGAGGGATATTCAAAAGTAGCCAAACAATAGTAAGGGGAGTATCTCTTATTTTTCGTCGAAAATCCCTCTGTAGGGGGACCCGTCCGACTTAACGCAAGGGCACGGCAGCAGAGGGCAGGGCAGAGAATCAGCTCACGTAGCTGGATTTCCTGGCGCCTCCTGGCGCCAGGAGGCGCCCGCGTATCGAGCAATGGGCCCAGCGGCAGGGCCGAAACCAGCCGCACGCAGCAGGCCCGACTCGTCTGTCCCATCGCGCCCACTGTCCGTCCGTGCCTGAATCCGCGTCGAAAACATGTCGATCGCGTCGAATCTTGATCGACCCGGTGTCGAATCCGCGTCGCATCCGCGTCAAGCCCACGTCGGAGACCGCAATCTACAAGGACAGGAAGGTGTCACCGAAGATGCAGCACGACACGAGCGGAGCGGAGCGGAGCGGAAGCACCGAAGTCAAGCACGCAAGTGTGCCCGTGTCTTCTTGGGCAGGGCGCATGAGGCCGTGACCTCGTATCGTGTACAAAGAGAAGCCGTAGACGGAGGACTTCAGGAATCAGTGCACGAAAAAGGCAAGAAACACGCGCATGAACGTGACATGAGGGACCCGCAGGAGGGGGGGAAGGGAACACGTCGAGAATCGGGAATCCAAGCCCTCCAACGTGTTGCATGACTTACTTTCCGTTGAGACATCCCCACCAGAGAACGCGAGGCGAGATCCCAACAGTCGGGTGTTGCGGGAACACCCTCTGGCCCAAGGTGCCCCCATGAATTCCAAAGATGCCACCACGGCCTCCAGAGCACCCGTCACGAGATCCAGGGAACCTGAGGGTCTCCGAAATGGAGCGGAACGCTGGGGGCCACCTTGGGCCAGGGGCACATGAAGCAGCCCCCGAAGCAAGGAGCCCTGGCACACTTTAGGCCTGGTGGCCGCGGTATGCAGTCGCCCTTCGTCGAGGACCCGAGCCGAGACCATTCGGGAACACAGGCACACTTTGAGACAGGCGGCCGCGGTGTGCATGGTGAGCCAGCGAACCTAAAACCACCATGACACTGGGGCCATCCATCACCAAGCCCTGGGACCCTCAAACAAAAAAACATGATGAAAAGCTGGCCCTGAGCCTTCTGTGGGCACCCACGGCTTGAGCACATCAGAACGTTGGGGGCCTGGGGAGAAGGGTGAGCTCAAGGAGGAGCAAGGATCGCATTAAGTCAAGTCGTCACGACCTCCGTCACGAGGAATACAGGGCGTGTCCTAATGCTGATGTGGTCTTCTTGTTTTGCAACATCCCGCCCGATCCATCTCCGATCCCGAGCTCGGGGAGGCATCGTGAACCTCCCTGGAGGATCGCGAGCATCGAGGAGCAAGGATTCCAAGTGTTCTTCTCGAATTCTGGGACTCGGGGAGAGCTCCTCGTCGGCTCGATACCCTGGGCAAGACACACCTCTGGAGAGGTCCGGACGCGATCATATGATCTTCTTTGGCACCGTGTATACAGCCTGGCTTGCCGCGGACAGCGTTCATACGCACACCCTCCCACCCAACCACCCAATCACAAAGCCCTACTCCAACCCGATCGCGTCCGAACAGCCACACATTTTCTAAGAGCACCGATATGTAATGCACCTCTTAACATCTTGTCGAGGATATCAACTTGCTCACCAAATCCCCTCAGCAGGCCGTGCAAAATTAGGAACTCAAGGTATGTGAGAGTTCGTATTCGAATATCGTGTAATCCAACTTGTCGCGGAAGTCGACCACCGCCACCCCCACTCAATCATGAAACGTTAACTCGTTCTCAGCCATTGGTATCATACTGTTTTCCTTTTTCATGCCAGCAGGCTCCATAGACCACAAAAGAGGACAGACCTCTCACGAATTGTTCGAGGCGTTGTGGGTGTCTGGGCTCGATCCTGTCTTTGCCCCTGAAACCGAACTGTGAGCGGCACCTCCCCGATCGGCCCGAGAGCAATTGCAAGGCTTCGATCTGCGCAAACACAGCCCCCCCCCCGCCCAAGGTAGTCCCAGCTGGCCCACCCCAAGGGCGCGGAGCGCCCTGGGGGCGCCACCGGAGGCGGCGCCGTGGTGTCGAGACCGACCCACATGACTTGCACTTGGAGGGGCTGTTGTGGCCATCAGGGAATATTCGGGAAGTCTGTTGAGGCCTGCCGGGACTACCTGGGGGGCCTGTCTGAGCGCAAACCGAAGCCTTCCCAGCAGCATCGCGGGCCTCCTGCCGCCGTCCACCCCACACCCCCAACGTCACGATTTGCTCACATCGAGGACCCCCCGAAGCCTCGACCCCTTCCCCAGGCCCGGCCTTGCATCTTGAGTCGTTGTTGGACGGTCCCAGGTCCTGGCGAAGCGTAGACGCCGAAATTGATCAACACAAGGGCCGTGCATGGCGACAACAAAAACGAAAGCCGATCGAACCGACAGCAAGCCGAAACCGACCGACATCGACGGGCCCCATGCAGCCAGAAAGACGAACCGACGAGGAACGACACAACCGAATGCGACACAACCGAAGCCGACCGAACCGCGAGAACCCTGAAATGATCAGAGCCTCTGTGGACCTCGGCGGTCCCATCATCAACGTGATTTCGACTGGTGTTCGTGCAGATTTGGACCGCCCCTCTTGACCCGTTCTTCCAAAGTTCGTCTTACTTTCGCCCACATGTCAACTAAATCCGACGACATCTGGGCAACAAAAACCCAACACCGGCAGCAATGTCGGGACTTTGGGGGCTCGCATGACTACTTCACACCATACCCCCCTGTGGTGGGAACCAGAATGTGCCGATACCTTTACTCCCTGGTCCTCTTACAGGGTGGGCTCTGACCAAGACTTCGGAAGCGACTCCACGGGTGACGACGAGGTCTGCCAGGAGACCCCAAACGACGGAAAGGCAGCGGCACCGGCACCTCCCTTGACTTGACATCCCACCCATCTCGACGGCTCGACTCGACTTGAGACCCCTTGACTTGAAATCCCTTGACTTGACATCCCCTGACCGGAAATCCCTTGACTTGACTTGAAATCCCCTCGGCCTTTTCATCCCTTGACTTGAAACCCCTTTGACTTGCAATCCCCTCCCTTGACTCGATTTTTGCCGCGGCTCGACGGGGTCTGGGAGCCGCACCTCCCCGAGCGGCCCGCACGGGCGGCGCGGGCCTCCCGCCGCCGCCCGGCCGCACCGCCACCAGCAGCCGCCACGGGAGCACCGTGGCCTGGCAGGAGAAGCACTGGAAGAACTCCGTGGGCGCGGCGAGTCCTCGGCGTCGGGCTCTGCCACTGGCCTGGCCTCCGTGCCTCGCGCACGAGCCGGGCCTCCCAGGCGGGGCCCGAGCAGATGGGGTCGGAGTAGCGGGAGGAGGAGGAGGAGGAGGAGTGAAAAGTTGAGGGGCTAGGGAGGAGGAGGGGAGAGAGGAGAAGGAGAAAGAGAAGGAGGAGAGTATGAGGAGGAGAGGAGGAGAGGGGGAGGGAGGAGGAATGGGGGAGAAGAGGGGAGGAGGGTGGAGGATGAAATGGGGGAGGAGGAGAAGGAGGAGGAGGTGGGGGGAGGGGAGGAGGAAAGGGACCGAGGGATGAGGGGGGAGGTAGGAATAGGAGTGTGGAGGAGGGGGAGGAAGTGAGAGGAGGAGGAGGAGGAGGAGCAGGGGGAGGAGGAGGAAGAGGAGGAGGAGGAGGAGGAGGAGGAGGGGGATAAAGCCCCCAGAATCTCGGACTGGGCCCAGGCTCCCAGCACAGCACGCCGCCACGAGGCACAGAGGGCCCAAGGGCTCGCGGGTGGGGCGGAAAAAGCTGGGAGGGCCTTCGGCCACGGGCACCTTCAGCAACGCCCAGCGGGTGGCCGGCCCAGATTTCCCGCGGGCGCGAAGGAACAAACACTATCAATACATGGGCCGCCTCGGATGCCCCATCCCCCATCGCCCCTCATCCAACTCTTCCTCACCCTTGTCATCCCAACATCATCATGATTGTGTTGGGTGCTCCTATTGTGTTGTCTCCTGCTCTCTTTCTCTCTTTCCCTTCCTCTCTCTCTCTCCCCCCCCCTCTCTCTCTCTTTTTGTTGTATATATATATATATATGTTTACATGTATATATGTATTGGTGTACATGTCCTCGTGTGTCGTGTTTTCTCTATATATGTATATATAAATATCATTATCTCTCTCTCTCGTTTGTTTGTGTTGTCTCTCTCTCTCTCTCTCTCCCTCTCTCCTCCTCTCTCTATAACTATTTATATATGACACTAGTGTTGTTTTTGATACATCTACATATCTATATACATGTGTACGCACGCGCTTAAGCGATACTCAGCTCCCAAGACAGAATCCTCATCCTCATCATCTATATCCCCATCCACTCCCATGGCAACACGCAACCCCAGAGGTCATGGACGCGGGAATGGGGTCGACGGCGTCGCCGGCGTCGTCGCTGTCCGTCGTTGTGGTCTCGGGAGGTGGAGAGGGAAGGGGGGAGAGAAGAAGAGCGGAAAGACGGAGGAAGATAGGGAAGACCAGAAACAGGGAGGAATGAGAAGCAAAAACGGAGTGAACGAACAAAAAGGAGCGAAAGATGGATCAGCGGACGAGTACGGACCCATGGATTCCTCTTCATTCCCTTTCCTCCGCCTCCGAATTTTTGTTTCCCCTCCTCCTCCTCCTCCTCCTCCTCCTCCTCCAGCCGCCGTCCCGGCTCGAAGGGCTTGGGTGCTATCAGGAAGCGGCCCCTCACTCCGGGACAGCTGCGAACGCGCCGCGGTAGCCTTGCCAGAGCGCTGAAACGTGGCCGTGCTTCCCGCCACGCTAGGCGGGCATCTGAACCAGCGTGGCATCGAAAGGCACGAGCGGAGCGGTCACGTGCCCGAGTCCGCCTCCGTCTGGAGGCGGCTCGACGACTGCTACGATGGATGGCACCACAATCGCCAGCGAGTGCCTCGTGCCAGCATGTCCGAGGCCACCGGTGTGTCGTGTGCTCCAGCTAGGCCCGCCTGGTCTTGTGCGGATTGCTCCTGCAAGAACCGGCACGACATCGTCGACTGCCAGCAACGTGGTGCTCCCACGCCAAGAGTCTCCCCCCAAGCGTCGCGCGCCGGCCCGTCCGCCGAGGCGATACGGCAGTGCTCCCGACAGTGGTCATGGGCGTGGACGTGGGAGCAAGGCGCGGGGTGCTGCAGCCCGAGAATCCCAGCCTCTTGCCAGTCGCGAAGATGGTGGTGGCAAAGGTACCGGGGGCACTGGCAAGGGAAACGAAAAGGAGAGGGACAAAACCCAAGAGTTGGCGACGACTACCGCTCGGCTACCTCGGGCTGCTCGCAGCCATCCCTGGTGGCGTTCGCCGCCAGGACCACAAGCGTCCGACTCCGAGGTCGAGTCCTGCAAGAAGCAGGCCTCCGCGCGGCTGGAGGCCTTGAACACAGTCATCCTCGACAGGAGCGAAGATGCAGAGCTGGAGTTCTCGACGACGATGACTGTTGTTCAGTGCGCGAGGGCTGAAGGCGCAGCTCACCAAGCAGGAGCACGCCCGTGCCAGGGCCGAGCACAGGCTCGAGGAGGCCCGCGATGTCCTAGACGACTTGCGCACGCAGGAGTAGCAGGCGAACGCCGACGTGGCGCTTGCGCAGAGCGACCTCCAGCACCTGACCAAGACGGACGAGGAGGTCCAAGAGCTCATCACAGCGGAGGCTCCGCCTCCTCCAGCAACTCCTGTGGGCTCGGGCGACACATCGGCGGGGGCGGCTGCCAGCAGCGGCGTGCCCCCCATGTCCGCGCCCGGAGCGCATGCAGCCCACCAGGCCCAAATCTCGGCGGGCGTCATCCAGCAGCTCCAGATCCTCCTCCTGCTCCTCCTCCTCCAACTCGTTCTCCCTCCTCCCTCCCCCTTTCATCCCTTCATCAAGCATCCCTTCTCCTTCCTCCCCATCCTCCTCAGACTCCCCTCCTCCTGCAAAACCATGATGTCCCCCACCCGCCACCATCCGTTCTGCGCAGCGCACCGGCAGCAAACGACGATGTGCCTGGGGCCTGGCGAGCGGGGGTGGGGTGGGGTGGGATGGGGTGGTAAAGGGCGAGCAGAGACGGACGGGGACATATAAGAGCAGAGAAGACAGGACGCTGGTACAGAACCACCGGCGGTGCAAGCATGCCGCTGCCAGGTGTCACGGCTGCCGCTGTGCCATCGGCGTCGTGGATGAGGAGGATCAGAAGGGGAATCGGGGGTGGAGGGAGGATGAGGGGGAGGAGAGGAGCGGAGACGTGTAGAAGCGAGACAGAAGGGGGACGGAGAGCGGGGAGGGGAGGAGAGGAGCGCGAGCGGGGAGGGGACGGATGAGAAGAGCACAAACAGGGGAGAAGGGGAGAAGAGCGCGAAGCGGGGAGGAGAGGAGCGGGGACGCGCAGAAGCGAGACGGAGGGGGGACGGAGAGAGGGACGGAGGGAGACACGCAGGAAAGGGCGGAGGAAGGGGAAAAGGAGGGAGAGGGACGGAGGGAGGGACGGAGGGAGGGGGGAAGCTTGGCTTGGCTTGGGTCGGAGGGGAAGAATAGAGGGAGAAGGGAGGGGAGGATCATCAATTGGAAGGGGGCGTCTGAGGAATGAGGAAGATAGTGAAGGGGAACGATGTTGAAGCCAGCCCCTCTGACATGATCCCAAGACCCCAAAACAGGCCCACAAAGGGCCCAAACACGCAACCTGGTTGGACTAACATGCAACCACGAGCCTCCAAGAAATCCCCCCCCCAGATGCAACAAACTACCCCCAAAACCTCTGAAAAAAAAGCCCAGGCAACGCGGCGGGATGGACCAATGACTACTTTCGCCTTGGCGTTGAAGCTGCCACCGCGCCCTGCCCCCGCCCACTTTCCGACTCTTGCGCCAAGGCTGTCGGAACTGGCCGCAAGGCCTTTACAGTGACATAGTGCGCAATTTTGCATACAAGCTTTCCTGCGATACTTCTCGGCGGTAAGATGACCGACATACCTCTGCCGTCTCAGACCCTAACGTGCTCGCTTGGAGGAGCCTTGATCTCCATGGAGCATGTGTAAAATTGTTGCGGACGGGCACGGCTTGCACTCACAAGGACAAGCAACCCAGAGAGGCGGGGGGGGGGCGCAGCGGAAGATGGCGACAATCAAGCGAAAAATGCAGCATCGAATCCGCCCCCAAGCCTTCAGCACGTAGTGGGGTGCCCCAAGGCTCCTGCAACCCTGAGACGCTCCACGGTTCCAACATTCTTTCAAGGCCCGGACACCCTGTTTCACATGCGGGCCCTCCCAGGCATTGCTTGGGTGTGTCGCATGGGCCGCTGGGGTGGTGGCCCCGCTCAACAGGGCCAAAAAACAAACGCAGAGGGCCCCGAGAAGGCCCCAGGAAGGCTCGAGAAGCCTCCGAGTCGGCCGAAGAGCTTTGCCATATGCCCAAGACGGCCCCGAGACGGTCCAAGAGGGCTACAAGACGCCCCCAAAGGTCTCCAAATTCACTTTTCCAAGCAGGACCCAATGTCAATGGCGATGGCCCCTGACCACAAAGTATGCTCGATTTCCAACCTTTGGAGGGCATCTCCAAGTCTGTCCAGGACTCCAGATCGCCCGTCATCGCGTCTAGCGCGTCCAGGACAGCCGTGGTCCCAGCTCTGTTGTCACTCTGTCTTGGGCCTTGTAATGGCCCCGCGCGCTCGCCAGTGCATCTCCTCTGCCCGTCAGCCCACTCCATCGGCGCCCATGCCCATCCAAGCCTTCAATATCGAGCGTCCGCAGAGTGACCTCCACCACTGCCGTCTCCCCCGGTAGTGAGGCGGTCGCCTGCAGGAGCCTCGACCCCCCCGCCCGCGCTGGCGACCTGCGATCTACCGGATCGCACTGCACGGACCTCGGTCTCGCTCGGTGGTGGGCATGTCCAGCGGAGTGGCGCGACCCCCGTAGCCAGAAACAAGCAGCGCCCTCCATCCCAGCAGCGGCCCCGTCGATCAGGCGGCCCGTCTTGGCGTAGATTGGAAGTCCCCCCCCCCCCCCCCCCCCCCACGCACTAGCATTTGCCCCAGATGAAGCGAAAATCGCCCGCCACCTGCCCGCATTGGCACAACTGGGGCGCAGCGCCCCCAAGCACGTCGCGCCGCCGCTGGGGCGACCAGACTCCAGCGCGCGCGGTGAAACGTCAACGCCCCGAACTTCTGGCGGCGCCCGTACCACCTGACATTGCGCAGATGGCGCACTTCAGGTCGCTCGTGCCCGCGCCATTCCCGAGCCCCGAGCGGTTGCGGTGTCTGACAACGCTGCTCCATATCTTCTTCTTGGTGTCGTCCACTATAGCGCCCAGAAGGTTGGTCGGGTCGCCATCGGCCCCCCTGGCTTCAACTGCCAGCCCCCCGCCATCAGCGTCGACCCAGTAGCCGGGCTGCGGCGCGTCCCAGCCGATCTCCCATAGCTGCAATAACGCCGAGCCGATGATGCCTCACCCTCGAGTCCACCTGATAGCTGGTCTGGCTGCCTTGGGACGTTCACGTATCTTTGGTCGCGCTCTCACTGCGCCAGCTCGAAGGGCTGCCCGAGCTGCCCAGAAGCCGAACCGTGCTCGGATATGTGCTCGAGGTCTGCTCACACTTGGGCCCGACCCCTCCACGAGCAGCGCTGCGAGGCAGCGCCCTGGCCACGCCTTCCGAAACCCTCGTGCATACCTCCCCTGATCTCCGTCAGCTCCATTCGGGCCCCCGACGACGCCGTGGGCCCCTGCTCCAGCACGTGCTGCCTTGTCCGCGCCTTCCTCAGTTTTTTCGCCACTGCTGTGAACCATCTGAAGCTGCGCTTCCTTCTCGCCGCGTGCGCGGTCCGTCTCGTACAACTTGTGCCTCCTCTGTCCAGCCCTTGGTCGCGCCGTGCTGCCGCCGCCTTCAGTATGACACTTGCATCGCTGAGCTCTTTCGCCGCCTGCTTCGTCGTGCTGAAGTCCGCCGATAAGATGACTGACTTGCTTGTCGCTGTGAGTCCTTCCATCTCCCGCGCCTCCTTCAGGGTCTTCGCCGCCTCCACGATGCCCTCCTTCACCGTCTTGAAGCTGCCTGCTGCCCGCGGCCCGATGTCGTCGAACCACGCCCTGGGCTGCAGCTTCCCGCACCTCCCTGCACAGCTGCCTGACCGCGCGGCGCGCCGACGCCCTGGCCGGGCGGTTGCTGTTCCTGGAACGCGCAAGCCCCCCCTTAGCGCGCAGCGGCAAGCTGCGCGAATCCATCTCCTTCAGCATCCTCGGGGCGAGGTGGAGAAGCATCGCCGTGGCTGGGGCCCTTGGAAGGCCGCGCTCAGCCGCGCGCCTGGCCACCGTGGCAAACGCTGGCGAGTCATGGAACCTCTTGGCGCCCGCCAGCGCGCCCGCCGAGTGCGCGCCCAGCTCCTGCGAGGTCTCGTCGCCCAGCGCCCTCGCCGCGGCCTCCCGCGGGCAGGAGTTCCCTGCGTGCAACGCGTCGGAGTCCCCCTCCACGCCCCTCGCCCAGCGCCTGACCTGCTCGAGTCGAACAGCTCCCAGGTCCTGGCGAACCAGCAGTGCCAGCGCGCGGTCTCCTCCGCCCGTCAAGGCGGCGCTGTCCTGCTTCTCGCCGTCCTTCGGTGGTCGCATGATCAGGGCCTGCAGCACCTGCCATGGCCGCGCAATCTTCTCCTCGCAGCTGTTGTAGATCCTCACGAATGCCTCTCTGCCAACAGATGTCGTCAACGTTCATATGGTCCGTGCCCTCTCCCTTGTTGGGCGTTCCCTGCGCCGCCGCGTCGAAGGCCTCGAGCGTCTAGCGCGGCTTGGGCACCTCCTTCGCGGTTTCCCTGAGGTCGTTCAACACCTCGACAGCGTCCAAGTGGCTGGTGCTGTCCTTCCACATGGCCTCGAAGTGCATGGCCTTCAGGCCCGCGCTCTCCATCTGGCTCGAGACCTTCACCCCGCTCCTGATATACTCGTGATGGCGCCTCCTCCACAATTTGGTGATCCTGTACAGCACTTCCGGTGTCGATCTTTCCGCGCTCGTCAACCATAGCGCGTACTCCTGGAAACCTCGCCGTAAGTCGTCTCGTAGGGAAAATGTCACCTCCTTGGCGGCCTGGAGCACCATGCCGTCGAGCACGTCAAAACCCACCTTTTCGATCTTCCTGATACGCTGGCCCCAGATCTTCCTGTGCAGCTTGGCCGTGTCGGGTGCTTTCCTGCCCGCTGTGGGGACCCCATCGAGCGCCAGTCTCCTACACCCTCGGCGGATCTGGGCTTTCTCAGCTTTACCTTTGCCCTTCCCCGCCAGCTTCGCGTACTCTGCCAAGGCCGCGTGCGGCCTTCCCCACCAGTTGGTCCTGCCAGTGCTGGAGTGGATCCTCATCTGGCCCGACTCCCTCTGCTCGACCTCCACGAACTTGTACTCGCCCCCTCCGCCCGTGTATGCCCACAATCCTCCTCAGTCATCTTGCAGGCTTCGCAATGGAAGCGCTCCATGGTGTTGAACAGGTGGCCGTACCCCTCCGTCCGCCACCTCCGTAGCCTCATTTTCTGTCCCCTGGAACGCCGCGCAGCTCTCGATGTATTAAGGCACCCTTGGGGTTTCGTACCACTGAATACTGGAAACTATGGAAGTGAACAATAGAATGTATGGTTGAAGCGTCCATGTGTCGTCTGCAAACGGGGCCCCGTGTGGTCGTCGTCTTGACACTAAGGTCCGCATCTCATGACCAAGGTGCAAGATGCACCGCGCGAGCGCCGAAAGTCTAGCACCTATGTACCACATCCACTGCAGCTGGCCCTTTCCCTCTGATGGCGCAAGAGGATGCCCCAACAATTCGCGCCACGTCGGCATACAATCACGCGTGATCGTGTTATCTCAGACTCGCGCAGTCCATGCCAATGGGCCAAGCTAGCAACACCAAACGGACATCATACAGGTGAAATGCCGACGCGTACGGTCGGTCGATGTCCTTACGTGATGCTTGCGTGCATGTGTTGAATCGCCGCGGCCCCGCCTGGTTGTCCTCCTTCCTCATAAATATTACGCGGACAAATACAATGGCACTCCCCACTATCATAGGTATGGAGGCGCACCCGTCGTCGTTCTCTGAACTAACCAAAGCGGCCTGGACCTTGTGTGGGCCCATCATGGCCCTCGGGGGACAACAGATCGCCGAAGGTCACCTGCTGGCAGGCAGAGGAGGATCTATATATATATATATATATACTATATATACTATATATATGTATATATGAGTATAAATTTATGTGTATATACAGATGTAGACAAGTACGTCTATCTATATGTGTGTATACATATATGCTGTGTCGCGCTCCTGCCGCAGAGCCGTGGCCCTCCGGAGCATACTGCTCGCCACTGCCGAAGCCTCCAACCTCCAGATGGCCCTCGCGCCCGACCGCAGGGCTTGCATAGGAGCAACCTCAGAGGTGCCCGCGGATGTCTTGGATCGGCGCTGCCCCCTTCCGCGGAGCGCCACCAGGGGGCGGCTCCGGAGGCGCCACCATGGGGGCTCCAGCGCGGATGGAAGAGAAGAAAGGGGCTGAGGGACACACAGAGAAATAGACACAGCTCCCAGGATTCCAATTTTTTTTCCGGGTTTTTCGTCTTCCCCCACTGCCCATCTGTTTCCCCTCTTTTCCTGGTGGACGACGATCAATTGTGTCTGTGTGTGTGTTCTTCTTCTTCTTCCACTCCTGAGAGGTCCGCGCGGACCTCTGAAAGATTGTGTCTGTGCTTATGTTACGTTCTTGTACCCCGAGCTTAGGCGGTGCGCTAGGGCCGCCTGCCCTCCGGCGGCCCGGCCCCCTTCGAGTGGGGTGGCCGCCTGCTGCCGGCGAGCAAACGCCGAGGCGCGCTCCCAACCCCCGACGTCATGGTTTCTTCACGACGTCGACCCCCGGAGGTCTGGACCCCTTCCCTGGGACCAACTTTTCGTCCTGAGTCGTCTTTCTGGCGGTCCCGAGGCCCGGTGGGGGCCCCCCGAGGCCGACAATAGGGAACCTCCTCCCGTCTCGATTCTTTCCTGACCCGAGCGGGTCTGGCCGGGCATGGCCCGGGCCAACTCTTCGCCCTGAGTCTTTCTGACGGTCCCGAGGCCCTGCGGGGGCCCCCGAGGTCGAAGATAGCGAGCCTCCTCGCGTCTTGACGCTATCATGACCCGAGGGGGTCTGGCCAGGCGCGCCGAGCGCGCGGCGGTCCGATGGCGATGGCCCGGGCCGCCCGCGAAGGGACCGCGAAGGCCCTGCACGACGCCAGCGAGCGGGCGCGACGGCGTCGAGGGCGGAAGGCCCTCGGCCCGTCGCTTTGCGAGCTGCGCTGAACCCAGGCCCCCTCGGGTCGTGAAACACTTGCCTGCGCGCAGAGGGGGTATGGGGGAGGGGGGAAGGCTCCTTAGAGCCACCCCTGCTCCTTAGAAGGCGCCGGCCCTGCATCTTGTGAGAAGGCCCGCGCCCTCTAAGAAGCAGGGGTGTGTCTAAGAAGCCTTCCCCGCTCCCCCTACCCCGTCTGCGCGTGGCCAAAAAATCACGACGGGAATTGTTTCGCGATGTTCTGCCCCAGGGGGCCATTCCTGGGCCTCGGGGCCATCAACAAGCAGCTAGGGATGAAATGCCGGTCCCAAGGAATGAGTCCACACCTCTGGGGATCGACCGTCTGGGACCCCCCCACCCCCGCAGCGCCTGGCCCTCCTAGGGACAGCGCAACCCGCCCCCACCCCCGGCCAGGACCCCCACTCCCGACCCGGTGATCCAGGGGGTCCTGGCTGGGGTTGGGGTTGTTTTTCTGGGCATCGCTCGGACGTCCGTTCCCCGCGTTTTTTTGCGGTTTCGTGCGTGGCTTTTTCGCCAACTGATCAAGGATGCTCCTCGAGGGTCCTCGCCGAAGGAAAAGTGCACACGTCCGAGCGATGCCAAGTTTTTGAACCCACAACTTTTCTCCGAGCGTCCCAACCTGCGCGGCGGGAAGTGGCGATCAAACTACCCCAATCCGGAACCAGAAAGTGAAACAAGAAGGATGCAGCTGGGACTCAGGGGTCCGGCCTACCCCTGCAGGCTGCGGAGAGAGAGAGAGAGAGACAGAGAGGTTTTTGAACCCACAACTCAGAGAAGCCATCCCCACCCCGGGCCAGGGCCCCCTGGGTCGCCAGGTCGGCAGTGGGGCCCCTGGCCGGGGGGGTGGGCTGCGCTGTCCTCACCTGCGGTGCGCGCGCGCGGCCTGAAGCTGACCGCCCTGGCCCGCGCGGAAAGCGACCGGAACCTTCTCGCATCGACGCCACGCGACAGGAACCTTCTCGCGACCGGAACCGCTCGCGATGTGGAAGACGCCACTCGGTGGCATTCCGCTCCCTCCCCATGGAAGAGCGCAACTTTCGGAGGCATGTGCGGATTCCTTGGATGGTGCTGAGCCCCCCTGGCGCGCAACGACCCCGCCGATGCCCAGATCGGGTCTGAAGAGCGGCCAGAGGCGTCGCCAGGAGGTCCAGCGCCGATCCAAGAAATCCGCGCGGACACATCAAACTTTATGGTGATGCTGATTTTCTCTTCTCGAATTGTTCTGGTCGTTCGAGCATCCAAGAATTTCGGCGGCTGGCCTTCACGGCCAAGTCGAGGGGCGGAGGCTGTGGACAAAGAGGCCTCGACAGTGTCAACGGCCCCAGGAGGCAAGGATCGAATAAAAACGCCGGGCTTGGAAAAAATCAGTTCGTCGAAGATCTGGGTTCACTTCGACACCGTTTGGGCGGCCTGCCCTCCATGGCGAGTCCTGCTCAAAATGGGCAGGAACGGCTGCCCGTCTTCGTCCCAATTTCAACTCTGACCAAAGCTTAGGAAAAGCGCAGATGCCGATATCGCTACTCTTCGGACTTCTCCCGGGATGCCTTCTGACCACAATTTCGAAGCGGCTCCAGCCGTGGCGACGCAGGCCTCCCAGAGGGGGGGGAGGGGGCAAACGACGAAAACGATATAAGGGGTGGCGGTATCGGTGCCTATCCCTCCTCTGAAATTTCGATGCGCCAGACATCTGAAAAAGCCTTCCCCTCACGGCGGCGCCGAGGTCGTGTTGCATCTTCGGGGGGCGTTGTCTGCCCCGTCTCGCCCCCATCCGCGTCGAGTGCGTGTCGGACTCGCCGAATCCGCCGCGCCCCGCCCACGTCGCATCCGGGCCGAGTCCACGCCAAACCCGCGCCGCGTGCGCATCGAGCCTGCGTCGGGCACGATGGAGACACCAGTTCTGGGGGCGGCCGAGAGGGGGGCGTCCAAGAGGGGGGCGTCCAAGAGGGGGGCGGCCAAGAGGGGGGCGGCCAAGAGGGGGGCGTCCAAGAGGGGGAGGGGTGCAGAAATCATGGCCGGCGGCACGTGCGCGGCCCAAGGGGGGGGGGCCAGGAACTTGGTGAAATCAGCGTACGCGCTATGACATCTGAGGAAACATCATGGCCCACGCCATGAGATCCCCCCCCCCCTGGTCATCACCCCCCTCTCTGCCGCCCCCGACAGTTGCCCGCCATGCTGCGGGCACACTGGCTCAAACCTTGGAGGAGGAGGAGGAGGAGGAGGAAGAGGAGGAGGAGGAGAAGGAGAAGGAGGAGAAGGAGGAGGAGGGGGTTGAGGAGGAGAGGAGGAGAAGGAGGAGCAGGAGGGGGGGGGGCAGCCGAGGCCCCCCCGCAGATGCAGCGCAGCCGAAGGGCCGCAGCGCGCGGGCCTTGGTCCGCCAGCGGCGCGCTGGAGCCCGAGGCCCCACCGCCGCCGCCGAGCCGCTCGACCCAGGCCGCGCGCCGGAACGAGGCGGTTCCCGCGTCCTCGGCGGCTCAGAGGGGGCTCGTCGTCCTCCTCCACCTCCTCCTTCTCCTCCACCACCTCCTCCTCCTCCTCATCCTCCTCGTCTTCCTCCTCCTCCTCCTCCACATCCTCCTCCTCCTCCACCTCCCCCTCCTGCTCTCTCACCTCCTCCTCCTCCTCCTCTTCCCCCTCCTCCTCCCACCTCCTCCTCCGTTTCCTCTCCTGATAAATAACGTCTCCCCGTCGCACCGGGCGTTTCGCCTGAGACTTCCGCACCATGTTAACCCTGAAGCTCACAAGTTGGCAAACAGTTCACGGATTGAAGGCGGCCCGTTTTCAAAATGTGGCTCTCGCCTTTAGCGCCGCACACATTCGTTCAAACATTTGCAAAGAGTTTCACGGATTGAGAGAGCTTCCTCTTCAGAATGTGGCTCTCACCCTAGCGCCCCGCACACTCGTTATCTGAATTTGCAAGGTTTTCACGGCTTCCCATGATCAGCGTACCAGAAGTAACGCTTTGGACATATTCAAGACTATGAGAGTACAACAATTACGTTGGTTCGCGGTGTTGAAGTCCCAGGAATGGCGCTCTGGCACGATTCAGGACCGTCTCGACGCAACAGTCAGGTTGATTCCTGGCGTTGGAATCCCGAGAACAATGTTTTGCATGCTTCAGGGTCTCCAAACGGTTGTCTTCCAACGAGGCAATTCCCTCAGTGGACATGAACCGTTGTAGAGGCATATGGAGAGGGAGCTTGGAGGGAGGGTTTATTCCAACATCGTTGATGCCTCTTGGGTGTACACTGGTCCTCCTCCTCCTCCTCCTCCTCCTCCCTCCCTCGTACTCCCTCCGCTTCCGACTCGTACCTCCTCTTCCTCCTCCTCCTCTCCGAGGCCTGGAAATCGGCAGCAACACAGGATGGTACCTCCACAGGGGGAACATGATCCTGGATGGTGGCGTTGGTGGTCATATTTCGCCTACTCACGTCCTCGGCGGCTCGGGGGGGGCTCGGGTGTTGCTGAGAGCGAAGGCCTGGGAACTTGGCACCAACATCAACTCAAGGGGGTATCTCGACCGAGGGAAGATGATCCTAGGTGCTGGCGTCGGTGGTAATGATTCGCCCGCCTACGTCGTCGACACTCCAAAGGGGTTCGGGTGTTGCTAGAAGCGGAGGCTTGCAACTGGTCACCAACACCAACACACGGGGGATGACTCCTCTGGGGAGAAGTTGATCCTCGATGTTGGTACTGGTGGTAATACTTCGGCCTCACACGTCCTCGGCAGCTCGGAGGGGGCTCGGGTGCTGCTCCGCACGCCAGCGAAGGGGTCCGGCGCCGTTCCGAGAAATCAGCGCGGTCCTCCGAACAATAATGGTTATGTCAAAACTTGTCCCCGACCAACACCAGCACAAAGGGTCATATATTTTGGCGTTGGTGGTCACATTTCGGCCACCACAGTAATCCGTACCCGTCGACCCTTCGGCGTGTGTGAGACGTTTTTCTGTTTCAATCGTCGTCGTCGTCGTCGTCAGTCCCAAACAAATTACAGATAAAAGAAATTGAAGAACGTCGTAGTCAAAACGGATGGAAGCCTCTTCCAACTGAGATTCCGGGTGGGGGGTCGTCTTGGCCCGTCTTGGGGTCGTCTTGGGGGCCTCTTGGGTGGTCTCGGGGCGGTCTGGGGAGCCTCTTCGGCCGTCTTGGAGCGTTGGAAGCATGACATGGTGAAAAGGCCAAGAACCATAGACGAAAACAAGTGGCACGCGTGCTCTGGCTCTTGCACATAGGAGGAGAGGAGGAGGAAACGCAGGTGGGGGGATCGAGGAGACAAGGACGAGGAGGAGGAGGAGGAGGAGGAGGAGGAGGAGGAAGAGGAGGAGGAGGAGGAGAGGAGGAGGAGGAGGAGGAGGACGAGGAGGAGGAGGAGGAGGAGGAGGAGGAGTATAGGGCAAGGTCGCAGTGACCGAAGGAAAGCTAGGCCAAGTGCGGAGGCTGGGTCCAGTGACAGGGCCAGCGGGGCGAGGGGGGCTGGGGCAACGACCAGGGGGGGCAGGCTGGGTCCAGTGGACAATGGGGACGACGACGAACGAGAATAAAGGGTCCGGCGCGAGGGGGGCTGGGTCCAGGGCAAAGGCCAGGGGTACGACGACGAGCGAAAATGAAGGGTCCAGGGCCCAGGGAGAGGGGGGCTGGGGCCAGGGTAGGACGCTGGGTCCAAGGACAGGACCAGGGTGGCGACGACGAGGGGGTCTGGGTCGAGGACCAGGGTGAAGGCTGGGTCGAGGGCCAGGACCAGGGGGACGACGACAAACGAAAATAAAGCGTTCGGGGCGAGGGGGGCTGGGGCCAAGGCCAGGTGAGGAGGCTGGGTCTGGGGCCAGGTGCCGTGCCGAAACAAAGCGGTCGGGGCGGAGGGGGCGCGTTGGCTGGTGGGGCCGTCGCCGTGCCAAAATCAAGCTGTCGGGGCGGAGGGGGTGCGCTGGCTGGTGGGACTGGCGTCAATGGGGCGCTCTGCCTGGCGGGCTGGCTGCGCTGGCTGGCGGGGGAAGGATGCGGAGGGCCGGGGGGCTGCTTCGGCATGGCTGCTTTAGAAAGTGGATGCGGAGGGGGCGCGCTGTGAGGCGCGGGCCGAAGGGCTGCATCGACCGGTGCCGTGCCGAAAAAAAGTCGTCGGAGCTCTTAGGAACCCTGTGCAAGAGAATCAAAGAGTCGGGGCGGAGGAAGCGCGCTGGCTGGTGTTTGGGGGGGGTGCGGAGGGGCGCGCGGGAAGGGGGGGGGCCGTGCCGAAATGAAAATATCGGGGCGGAGGGGGCGCGCTGGTTGGCGGGTGGGGGGATGGTGGTGTGGGTGCGGGGGAGGGGTGGGAGTGCCGTGCCGGGATGTAAGGGTCGGAGCGGAAGGGGCGCACTGGCTGGGGGGGAGGACGCGGGGGGGGGGCGCGCGGGATGGGGGGGCGCCGCGCCGAAACAACGGAAAGGGGCGCGCTGGCGGGTGGGTGGGGGGATGCGGGGGGGGCGCGCGGGATGTGGGGGGGGGGGGGGCGCTGTGCCGAAATGAAAGGGTCGGGGCGGAGGGGGCGCGCTGGCTTGTGGCTGGGGGGGGGTGCGGGGGGCCCGGTGGGATGGGGGGGGGGCCGTGCCGAACTAGAAAGGTCGGGGAGATGGGGGGCGCGGGCGCGTTGGCTGGTGGGCGGGGGATGGTGGTGTGGGTGGGCGGGGGGGCAGTGCCGAAATGAAAGGGACGGGGCGGAGGGGGCGCGCTGGCTGGTGGGCGGCGGGGTGGGAGGATGCGGCGGGGGCGCGTGGGATGGGCAAGGGTGTCGTACCGAAATGAAAGGGTCGGGGCGCAGAGGGCGCTCTGGCTGGTGGGTGGGGGGATGCGGAGGGGTCACGCGGGATGGGGAGGGTGCCGTGCCGAAATGAAAAGGTCGGGGCGGAAGGGGCGCGCTGGCTGGCGGGTGGGAAGACGGGGGGGGGGGCGCGCGGGATGGGGGGGCGCCGCGCCGAAATAACGGAAGGGGCGCGCCGGCGGGTGGGCGGGGGGATGCGGGGGGTGGCGCGCGGGATGGAGGGGGGGCGCTGCGCCGAAATGAAAGGGTCGGGGCGGAGGGGGCGCGCTGGCTTGTGGCTGGGGGTGGGGCGCGGAGGGGCCCGGTGGGATGGGGGGGCCGTGCCGAACTAAAAGGGTCGGGGAGGTGGGAGCGCGCGGGCGCGTTGGCTGGTGGGCGGGGGACGGTGGTGTAGGTGTGGGGGGGGGGGGCAGTGCCGAAATGAAAGGGGCGGGGCAGAGGGGGCGCGCTGGCTGGTGGGCGGCGGGGTGGGGGGATGCGGAGGGGGCGCGCGGGATGGGCAAGGGTGTCGTGCCGGAATGAAAGGGTCGGGGCGAAAGGGGCGCGCTGGCTGGTGGGCGGGGGGATGCGGAGTTAGAATTCTGATGTGTGATAGGTTTCGAGCAGGTCCCTGTAAAGAGCCTCTTGGGAGCCCCTGGACTAACGTCCCAAAGTTAGGCTTCCAGGCTAAGGTCTTGTTTGACTGCCTGCTGCTTTGCTACGTACTGTAGCCGTTTGGCTTAGTGAAGAAAGATCTCATCCGATATATTTAACAGGCTCACTCATAATTATCAAGATAATTGATTCTCATCAATTCTTATTGGATACGATTCTCATCGATATCCCGAGTTTGGTAGCGGAGCCTCTACGGAGGCTCTGTCCACGGACCGCACGCTTGCGCGCGCACCTGTCAGGCTTGCGCAGCAGACAGATTGGTTTCAGATCTACATCGGGACCACAACTATCAGGACGGCTTCAGATCTACATCAGATACCGAGGACAACGGATTGGTTTCGAAACCATCTATTTCATTGCAGTATCATTCAAATACAATGCAGCAGACGACGGCAACTTCTCAGCTTGGTCTTCGGCAATACACGAAGGATGTGCCGCCAGGATGGAGACCCAGAGCTTACCCGATCAAGGAGTACAAAGAATACTTAGCCATCTGGGGCCGCCTGACCAAGCTTGATCAAGAACAGATAGGACCCGCGATCATGTCACGACTGGAAGGAGGAGCTCTAAGGATTGCAATTGGTTTGACTATTCAGAGGCCGGTTCCCCTGACTCTCGTGCAGACGACCTACGAAGGGATCGAGGCAGTTTCTCTTGACGCTCAAGCAGCTATCAGTGACCAAGCAGGAAATAGTCTTGCTCCAGCTTGCCCTTCAGGAGTCAAAGTGCTGATTGCGAAGCTCACGGAACTCTACTACTTGGACGACCAGGATCTCGCCTGGACGAGCCTGGATAGATTTTTCTGTTTCGTCAAGCCCTACGACATGGACTTCTCCACGTGCGTTGTTGAATGGGAACGCCTTTATTCGGAAGCAGAAAAGCATGGAGGTCTCGCCATTGGTGACAGTGGCAAAGCATGGCTCTTCTTCAGTCGCTCAGGCATTGCAGAACGACAGCTCGCAGATCTCAGACTCAAGGTTGGCGGAGACCTCACACGTTACAGAGAGATGATAGCCC